GCTTCTCTCCTTGATTAGTTCCCATCCATTGTCCTTCCTTCCTTCCTTCCCTGCCCCATCCCTCCCTCCCTCCCCTGCCTCGTCCCTCCCTTTTTCCTCCCTTCCTTCCCTCCCTCCCTCTTCTCCTTATTTCCAGGTTGCTTCTCTCCTTGATTAGTTCCCCTCCGTGGCTTCTTGTCCTGCCTTCTGGCGCTTCGGAGAACAGCCTGACCCCCTCCTCTTTTTATAGCAGCCCCTCAAAGACTGGGCGCCTGCTGTCATGTCGCCCCCTGGTCCTTCTTTGCACCGAGGCGCTCGGCAGCTCCAGGGGACCTCTGGGTGGGATGGAAAGGGGGCCCCCTGCCCTCCCCCACCCACCAGGCCAGGCCGGGCACTCACGTGGGGCAGGGCGTCCAGCACCAGCGCCATCTTGGCTGCCTCCCCGTACTGCTGGTAGGCCTCGGCCTTGAGCTTCATCTTCTCGGCCTCCGCCTTGCCGATGGCCTCAATCACCAGGGCCTCCGCCTCGCCGATCTTGCGGATCTTCTCTCCTTCGGCCTGGGCAATCAGCACCTGCTTCACCCTTAGCAGAGGGAGAGAGAGAGAGATGGGCATTTAGAAGAGAATAGAGCTGGGAGGGACCTCGGAGGTCTTCTAGTCCAGCCCCCCCCTCCCCGCTGAAGCAGGAGAACCTCTGCCATCTCCAACGAGGGACTGTCCAGTCTCCTCTTCAAAGCCTCCAGCCACGGGAGCGCCCACACGTGAGAAGGTTTTGATGGCAGAAATGCGTTTAAAGAAAAGCTTTAGCGTTTTAAAAAGGGTGAGCAAAAGAAAAAAGAAAAAAAAAAGAGAGAGTATTTTGCCCCGTTAAGGTCAAAGAATCTGAAAGAATGCAGTAAATCTTTGTGAACCCAAAAATGGTGATAAGTTCGTAAAGGTTATTAAACCGATCCATTTATTCAAAGAGGAGAGTATGTTTAAATGTGTATTTTTTATACTTGGGATGTCAACTTCTGGATTTTGTCCCTGCGATGGGAAATAAAATGGAAGTTTTGACTCTGGTTTGGTCGATTAGATAAGGTGGGCTGTTCTAGTTATATATTGATGTGTAAAAGCAAAAAGTTGAGGCTGGAGTGTTTTTATCTTGAACTGTGTTAAAAAGAGTTGGAAGTCATTGCCTTTTCTTTCTTTCTTTCTTTCTTTCTTTCTTTCTTTCTTTCTTTTTCTTTCCTTCCTTCCTTCTTTCTTTTTCTTTCTTTCTCTTTCTGTCTCTCTTTCTTTCCCTTGTACTTCCTATTTTCTTTTTTTTTCCCCTTTCCTTTTTCCTTCCCCTAATAGTCCCTTATTTCTAATTTTTTTCTTGGTGTTTTATAAAAACTTTACTATTATTATTATTAAATTACAGTAGTGGCCAAAATTGTGGAAATCTTTTGGGAAAAGTGTATTTTTGAGGTTTGATGGCTAATAACACCACTTTTTTGGGGGGGAATAGTACCATAAAATTATATATCAATGGAAAGATAATTTAATCAAGAATGTAATACAACAAAGTTTGTTCAATTATCTGGACTGCATTCTATGAAAAGGTGTAGCCAAATAACCAGAAAAAGGAAGCACAACTTGCTTAGGTTGATCTCAGGTAGCTTTCCTTCATGAGCATGAGTGTTTAGAGAGCCAATCGGTGTCATCCTGTTTTGGCCATGAGCCACTCAGATCACAGCAGGATCCAGTTATTGATGTCCTGTATTGAAGCTGAGAGGAGGACATTTGTCAGTGTGTTATGTGATGGCTATCAAGTGGGCTGGTTTTTTTTGGTGTTCTTTCATTTAGTGAGCTTGTAAAACGTAATAAAATTAAAGCAATGGTGCAAAGAGTTGACTGGTTGCCCAGAAAGCGATGTAAAATAGTGTTATATAATAATAATAATAATAATAATAATAATAATAATAATAATAATAATAATAATAATAATAATAATAATAATAATAAAAAAAAAAAAATTGGAAGGGACCTTGGAGGTCATCTAGTCCAACCCCCTGCTCAGACAGGAAACCCTATACCATTTCGGACAAATGGCTGTCCAGTCTCTTCTTAAAAACTTCCGGTGTTGGAGCATTCACCGCTTCTGGAGGCAGGTGGTTCCACTGGTTAATTGTCCTCACTGTCAGGAAGTTTCTCCTTAGTTCCAGGTTGCTTCTCTCCTTGATGAGTTTCCACCCGTTGCTTCTTGTCCTGCCTTCAGGCTTTGGAGAATAGCTTGACTCCCTCTTCTTTGGGGCAACCCCTGAGATATTGGAAGGCTGCTATCCTGTCCCCCCTCGTCCTTCTCTTCATTAAACTAGACATTCCCAATTCCAGCAACCGTTCCTTGTATGTTTTATCCTCCAGTCCCCTAATCATCTTTGTTGCTCTTCTCTGCACTCTTTCCAGAGTCTCAATATCTTTTTTACATCGTGGTGACCAAAACTGGATGCAGTATCCCAAGTGTGGCCTTACCAAGGCCTTGTAAAGTGGTATTAACACTTCACGTGATCTTGATTCTCTCCCTCTGTTAATGCAGCCTAGCACTGTGTTGGCCTTTTTGGCATCTGCAGCACACGGCTGGCTCCTATTTAAGGGATCGTCCACTTGGACTCCGAGGTCCCTCTCACAGTTACTACTATTGAGATTATTAAGTGAACAAGGCTACAGTTATAAAGAAATTAGAAGAAAAAAGGGTGGAAACTTAACCCAAGGTGGCATTTCTACTGTACACTTTTTCC